TGATGTATCAGCTGATAGAAGTCCATACAAACTGATACATCAACTGATAGAAGTCCATATAAACTGATGTATCAGCTTATACAAGTCCATATAAACTGATACATCAGGCTATACAAGTCCATATCAACTGATACATTAACTGATACAAGTCCATATAAACTGATGTATCAACTGATACAAGTCCATATACACTGATACATCATGCGATACAAGTCTATATAAACTGATGCATCAACTGATACAAGTCCATATAAACCGATACATCAACTGATACAAGTCCATACAAACCGATACATCAACTGATAGAAGTCCATATAAACTGATGTATCAACTGATACAAGTCTATATAAACTGATGCATCAACTGATACAAGTCCATATAAACTGATACATCAACTGATACAAGTCCATATAAACTGATGTATCAACAGATACAAGTCCATTAAAACTGATGTATCAACTGATACAAGTCCATACAAACCGATACATCAGCTGATAGAAGTCCATACAAACTGATACATCAACTGATAGAAGTCCATATAAACTGATGTATCAACTGATACAAGTCCATACAAACTGATGTATCAACTGAGTCAAGTCCATATCAACTGATACATCAACTGATACAAGTCCATATAAACTGATGTATCAACTGATACAAGTCCATACAAACTGATATATCGACTGATACAAGTCTATATAAACTGATGTATCAACTAATACAAGTCCATACAAACTGATATATCGACTGATACAAGTCCATATAAACTGATACATCAACTGATAGAAGTCCATATAAACTGATGTATCAACTGATACAAGTCTATATAAACTGATGTATCGACTGATACAAGTCTATACAAACTGATACATCAACTGATACAAGTCCATATAAACTGATGTATCAACTGATACAAGTCCATATACACTGATACATCAGGCGATACAAGTCCATATCAACTGATACATCAACAGATACAAGTCCATTAAAACTGATGTATCAACTGATACAAGTCCATACAAACCGATAGATCAACTGATACAAGTCCATTTAAACTGATGCATCAGCTGATACAAGTCCATATAAACTGATACATCAACTGATACAAGTCCATATAATCTGATACATCAACTGATACAAGTCTATATCAACTGATACATCAACTGATACAAGTCTACATCAACTGATACAAGTCCATATAAACTGATGTATCTACTGATACAAGTCTATATAAACTGATGTATCAACTTATACAAGTCCATATAAACTGATACATCAACTGATACAAGTCCATATAAACTGATGTATCAACTGATACAAGTCCATATCAACTGATACATCAACTGATAGAGGTCCATATAAACTGATGTATCAACTGTTACAAGTCCATATAAACTGATGTACCAACTGATACAAGTCCATACAAACCGATACTTCAACTGATACAAGTCCATATAAACTGATACATCAACTGATACAAGTCCATACCAACTGATACATCAACTGATACAAGTCTATATAAACTGATGTATCAACTGATACAAGTCCATATCAACTGATACATCAACTGATACAAGTCCATATAAAGTTATACATCAACTATAAACTGATACATCAACTGATACAAGTCTATATAAACTGATACATCAACTGATACAAGTCCATATAACCTGATGTATCAACTGATACAAGTCCATATAATCTGATACATCAACTGATACAGGTCCATATAAACTGATACATCAACTGATACAAGTCTATATAAACTGATACATCAACTGATACAAGTCCATATAAACTGATACATCAACTGATACAAGTCCATATAAACTGATACATCAGGCGATACAAGTCTATATCAACTGATACATTAACTGATACAAGTCCATATAAACTGATGTATCAACTGATACAAGTCCATATAAACTGATACATCAGGCGATACAAGTCTATATCAACTGATACATTAACTGATACAAGTCCATATAAACTGATACATCAACTGATACAAGTCCATATCAACTGATGTATCAACTGATACAACTCCATATCAACTGATACATCAACTGATACAAGTCCATATAAACTGATACATTAACTGATACAAGTCTATATAAACTGATACATCAACTGATACAAGTCCATATCAACTGATACATCAACTGATACAAGTCTATATAAACTGATACATCAACTGATACAAGTCCATATACTGATACTATTACCGACTTAAATAGTGTAAAAATAAGGGCCATTTTTTCACCTGTTTGACAATACCACCCTTGCCAGATTTTCCTAACTGTTGGCAAAACAGCCCTAACCAAGATTCTTGTCTGTCTGATATGACCACCCAACAGGGTTTCCTGTGTGCCTGCTTTGAAAAAAACGCTTCTTCCCCAGTTGTCTATCATGCTGTCTGCTTGACAAAACACTACTCATTGTTAGATAAACCACAGAAGTGACTTTTGGTAGATCAAATTTAATCATAAGGACCTCAAACTGATGTCTGTGTCCAGTTTGATTGTCAATACATTTGTGTGTGTCTACTGGCACTCTTCATACTTCATCTCTTACTTCTTCAAGACATGCCATAATGCATGCAACGATAACTAGTGTATTAGGTGTTGGCACTGTGGTAAAATTTAACTTTTGGTATTAATGTTATTGTACCTGTATGTTTACGCTGGGATACACTAAAACATACCTTACATCGTGCTAAGCTTTCTCTTTATTGATAAGTCTTACAGTGAGTTTTGCTTTGTACAAAGCGCTTCGATCAAGACGCTGTGATAACTTGGCTATTGTGTTTTAGATATGAAGGTACATTATGTCATCTTCATTTATTTTCATAAAATACTTCTTAACAGTTTCATAGAAATCACCCACTGCATTATTTCAAATACATTAATCAGAATGTCGACGGGACTTCGGTAGTGACACAATCAGCCTTTCATTGTCAGCAAACAACAGCGAGATGATTGTGTTACCGTTATATTTATACTGAACAACAAAAGACAGAGCAGGTTCCAAACATTTATTCATAACCAACTAAGTGGATATCCGCTTGGGTTTGATTTACAGTGTTTTATTCCTATTGAATGTCAGTAAGGCCTCTCCTTCAATATACCGCGTGATACACCTGTGTACGGATCGACGCCATGATAACAGGCAATCATCCAAATATGATATTAATGAGACTGACGACGAAATAAATATTGAGAAGAATTAAACAGATTATACACAAGGTCACCCTGACAAATGTATTGGCAAGATTATTTAATCATACGTTTGTAAAGAAAAGGGCAATAAAACATGACATATATGATGTAGACGATGTGTGTTTAATTAAACCACATGATTTAGATAGTATCTTTCTTGATATTCCCTACCTCTCCTAGGATCCACTACATCTTACCCCACCCCCTCCCTAGGATCCGCTACCTCCTACCTCCCCTAAGATCCGCTACCTCCTACCTCCCCAAGGATCCACTTTCCCCTACCTCCCCTAAGATCCACTATCTCCTACCTCCCCTAGGATCCACTTTCCCCTACTTCCCCTAAGATCCACTATCTCCTACCTCCCCTAGGATCCACCACCTCCTACCTCCCCTAGGATCCACTTCCTCCTACCTCCCCAAGGAACCACTATCTCCTACCTCCCCAAGGATCCACTATCTCCTACCTCCCCAAGGATCCACTATCTCCTACCTCCCCTAGGATCCACTTTCCCCTACCTCCCCTAAGATCCACTATCTCCTACCTCCCCTAGGATCCGCTACCTCCTACCTCCCCAAGGATCCACTATCTCCTACCTCTCATAGGATCCACTTTCCCCTACCTCCCCTAAGATCCACTATCTCCTACCTCCCCTAGGATCCACTTTCCCCTACCTCCCCTAAGATCCGCTACCTCCTACCTCCCCAAGGATCCGCTACCTCCTACCCCGCTAGGATCCACATTCCCCTACCTCCCCTAGGATCCGCTACCTCCTACCTTCCCAAGGATCAGCTACCTCCTACCCCGCTAGGATCCACTACCTCCTACCTCCCCAATGACCCACTTCCTCCTACCTCCCCTAGGATCCACTTTCGTCTACCTCCCCTAGGATCCGCTTTCTCCTACCTCCCCTAGGACCACTTTCCCCTACCTCCCCTAGGATCCACTTTCTCCTACCTCCTCTAGGATCCACTTTCTCCTACCTCCTCTAGGATCCACTTTCTCCTACCTCCTCTAGGATCCACCTTGACATTCTTACAATACAAATTTCACAATATTAATTAGTGTAGATTGGAATGTTTCGTAGGGTATGAAAATCTAACGACAAAATAAATCAAAACACTGGACATGTAATGATGTCTATGTGGTGTTGTTTGATAGGGAGTGTTAGGAATTCTTCATCTTTTAATGTGAAATTGGGGTCGTGACAGCGAGGTTAGATTAACCTGGTGTTAAAATTCTGAGGTCCATGGCTCGTGGCGGTTTGTTTTTCTGAGAGAGAGAGAGAGACACTTAACTCTGTTTAAAATAGCACGAGACGGACGTCACGTATACAACGAGGTAACCACCATCTTGTACAAGTAGAGCACGCCTCAAAATTGTCCTTGATGTTTACGGGCAGTAAACCCAGTAAACATTATGTGACATACAGATGGATAATATTGCCACGTATACTCTCAGTGTTAGGATAAACAGTAGCTCCTTAATTTACACGACTCTTATCCAGTTACTTTGATCAGTATCGAAATGAAAGCTGTAAATTAAAATCTATTATTAACAACGTCGTTCATTTGAAGAAAACTACTAATCTCCCATACTTGGAGTAGTTTGTGCGTAAAGTGTCATACGCTAGCTAGAAAATAATGGGTACGTAGCATAGCTTAATAGTATTTCAATATCAAGTAAACAGTTTTTATATCATGTCCATTTAGCATTTAATGAACTCAATAACTTAATATGAGAAGTTATTCTGAAGCATTTTACTCCTAAAACAGAAAAATGCGTCAGTCTAAAATCATGCTCGCTCTTTGCAATTGCACAATAAATTCAGAATGGGTTGTGTGTACATTATCCCAAAAATGCTGACGTTTAACGCGGTTTAACCAAGCCTCGACCTGGGGCCACATTTTGAATTTGAATCCTGTCCACTCCAATAACACCAAAACCGCTGCAACTGCTGTGTCAGCAACAGTCAAACGACTTCCAGTCAAATATTTATCTTTCGAGTTTTTGAAGTATTTTTTCTCAATGATTTCCAGGTGTTTTGATACTTGTCGGAGTCCGTGCTCAATCAATGACTCGTTGGCATTCTCCGGCGATAATGCGTATTTTTCCAAGAACTGTGGGTAAATGTAGTTGTAGCCAATTGCTCTGTAGTAAATAGAAGAGTCATTAACATCATCAGGTAAAAGTTGATAGTGAAATACTGTAAATCACTTATATTTCGCGCGGGATTTATTTTCGCGTTAATACATGAGGAGAGTCAATCGCGAACTCAATCGCGATTGTTTATGCGAAAATAACTCATGATCACATTCATGTTGATTCGGTTACCGATGTCGAAGCCTTGAAGAGTGTTTGGCTCTAATAGCTTATCATTCGCAAATTTAAAGTCATTTCTGGATCATGGCGCACTAAATCAAGTATAAATATGTCTGAAGAAGCAAGTTCGCGAAATAAAAAATAATCGCGAAATCTAAAAGAATTACAGATATTTATCTAAAAACACTAAAATTCAGAAAAAACGAGTTCGTTTGAGAAAAATTAATTGTACATCAGAAGCACGAGAAAGTTAAACATGAAGAAGAAGAGTAAGTAAGAAAGAGTGATGCTGACCTATGAAGCTCGCCGAAAGCCCAGCTGATAATGGATTCATTGCTCATCTGTTGCTGTAGACTAAGACCAAACCCAGCGTAGTCAGTATATCTCATGGCCAGATACCGCAAAATGGCGGGACTGAAAAGGGAAATATGTTATCATTATTCCAATGTTTATGTATAATGCATTATAGTATAATGTATATTCCACAGTTTGGCTGAGAGCACTGTCGAAGTTTGGTTTGGCGAACAGAGGACAACGGTAACTAATCAAAGACTGACAGGAAAATTCGTAATTTATTTTAAAATGCATATAGGATTGAATCAATTAATGTTTTAAAACCAAGTTGATTTCAGGAATATGAAGGTCAAAATTACGAATGGAATACAAGAATCAAGGATGCAATATAAAAATACATGCTATATTTTAGTACCCTATTTTCTAGTACGGGTCAATGGTTGGGCATGTTCATCTCTGTGTGTATGGCTGTTTCACTACCCGTCAACATATGGCATTCACGTGTAACCCTGGTTACATATGATCAGCATTATACCGCCCGGCTAGAGAGAACTTATCTCTATCATCGGGTGTCAAACTTGTAAGCCAGAGGTCCAGGGTTCGAATCCTATCGGAGGAAATAGATAATAACCTCTGCTTCACATACCATATACATACAATGTATCTTTATTATGAGAAGATTTTTATCCCAGTTTTCACGAGCTTTGGAAAATGTCTGAGTCCTTAGACTAGATATTTTGGTGGGAGGTATTACTTTATAAATGTAAGTACTGTCTTGGTATCAAATTCTAAAAACAAGTATATTCACAAAATGAAAGTTTTGTAAAGGTCACGAATAGGAATTGTATAGTATCATTTTATGTGTTTTCTAAAAGCCAATGTTTAATATTCGCTTTAAAACCGATTAGATCTGATAACAATGTGTGTTTATGTTGTAAACAGCACTGGTGATATTGGTCCTTTAGAAAACACGGGGAAATATTGTAATGCAGATTCGCTTATATTGGTTTGGTGTAAAAGTTCAATAAAGTTGTGATTAAAGCATTGTCTGTTTTGACAAACGACTTTTAAATCAGCCTTTAGACACCGCACATGGATTTGGTGTTATACTGAGGTACATTGGGGGTAAAACGAGGAGTCTGCCGTGAATAGACCTGACATTTTAACATAAGTACAGAAAACTATCGAGACTCACCAGTGTCCATGTAGTATCTAAAGTATTATTTCCGAGTGGAAGCCAATTTTACGGAAGCCTGCTAGCGCCACTAGTGAGAATCTTGTATGTGGTTGTCGTCACTTAGTTAGTTGGTGTCTCCACATAATTATATTACGGACACCAGGTAACTACGTAGTGGCCGCCACAAAGTATTTTCGATAGCGGCGCTACCAGGCTTCCGTACATTTCTCTCTCCTTATTTCTAATAACCTTTATGTTTGTCAATAAATCACCACCCCAATTAGAATTGGAATGGCATTGAATGGATTGAAGACCTTGACAAACTAAAATATATTCTATTTCACGGTTGACGGATTAACAAATTAAACCCTATTCATTACGATCTTGAACGGACTGAAAGTCAAGGCGTTATTCATTCGTTGACTCGTCAAATCGTAATAAAGTTTGCGGACGCCAAACATACCGATAATTATGGAATGGGTTTAAGAGACAAAGATCGATACATACGATAATCTCGAGGGGAAGCTCGTGAAATGGGGACTCCAGTTCGGAAACCTATGGGGAGCCTATTTGCAGTGTAATTTGTCGGTGATATGTCTTGTTAGACATTTCTTTACATTTAATAAAACATTTTAGCCAATTAAAACCAGAGGCCCATAGATACTGTATCACACAACTGGATTTGCTTGACTGAAATTGCTACATAAAACTAAAGGAAATATTTAAGGACACAACACAAAAACACATATATTTCCCTATTTAACCGCAGCTCTATGTCCTCAGCGGCTCACCCAAACCATTCATACTTCAGACAAAATCATTCCTACAGGAGGAGTCGGATTTTAAAGAACTTGTAAGATTTCCCCATTTGAGCCCAGACTACATGCCCCTAGGGCCGTGACTCATGATTCCACTTTCCCCAAGGATGTCACTTGGCCCTTTGGGCCAGGTGAGCTAAAAGGCGAGAAACATAAAGTCATGTATATTCATATATATATAACAAATTCTGGATAATTCCTTACCTGTATGGGACAATGTTACTTAAATAAAGGAAATATATTGAAGACGATCTACTGGAATTATGTTAGATAATAACACCGTGTTTTATCATTTGTAACATAAAGATAACTTTGTATATTTCCTATACATACATACATACATACATACATACATACATACATACATACCTACCTACCTACCTACCTACCTACCTACCTACCTACATACCTACATACATACATACATACATACATACATACATACATACATGTAGAACTTATAAAGGCTTATTATATTCTCGGATACATCAACCATACTTAATTTATTATGACGTCAGTGTGTAACATAAACATCCGAACTGACAATATAAACTGGGATAAGGTGTTTGGCATGTGAATTAGAAGATGTACAAGCTGATAGGCACTGAACCAATCGTTTACTCGAGAACTGATAGTCACATTACCAAGTTGTTACCCTGGAACTGATAGCAACACGACCATATCGTCAAAAGTCACGTCGGTATCAGACATAGGGTTCGGGGATACAAGAAGGTTAAAATGTATAGTTAGTACAAGACTACCTATTGATTACAGAATCTATCGGAACGCTTTATACTCACCCCTCAAACACAACTATCTCTCCATCCACAAGGAGAGGTACTTCCTGGTGAGGCTGGGACCGGAACACAGCGGGGAGGTGCTCCGACCCATGGCTGAAGTCCACATCCACGGATACATACGGTATTTCATTCTGAAACCGTAAATAGCATGGAACTGACCGGATGTGTGACTATAAAGATGTCATATGTAATTATAATTACACAATTGAAATGATGCCTTAATAGTTACGTTAAAAAACCACCTCGGTTCAAGGGGATATCTTCATGAGGACATGAGAAAAAAATATTTACAATTATCTGTGATTTTTTTCAGGCTTTGGGTTGAAATGACGTTCATCATTCATCGATGTCCTTCTAATTCATCCAGGCGTCGTATATATGCTAGTTTAAGAGTTAGTATAGAATACAAGGTATTTCTATATTATAGCGTTCAACAGAGGATTTCCACAGAGTTTATTGCGTCGATAAATTACCCAGTATTATGGTAATGGGATTTCATGTTAGATGGAATAAGTAAACTGCTGGCTAAAAAACACTTCATCGTTTTGGAATAGTAAGGAGATTGTGAAATGTCATACGGAAGTAAACGTGCATATCTGCACATAATGCATGTTTGAATAATACAGATCACGTACTAGAGGGTTAAACCATGTTCTGAATAATTCATGTTCTATGGTAGCTGGGAAAGAGAGTAAGTGATAAGGATTTCGTGTGAACGCAGTATCAGCGCGAAGTATTTGTAAGACTGAATATCTTTTGCTACCAGGTTGAACAAAATTCTGAAGTTTGATAAACGATTCTAAACATGTTTTATGGTTGACATTTTATTTGCACACAATAATTAGTGACCGGCCCATGAACTTGGCGATCGCGCACCTGTACATTCGAATCAAAGGAGACCGGTAACATGCATCTTAAGTTTTAAGTATACGTACATACAATGTACAAATAGTGTTAGAAATATACATAAAATGTTCGTATCGACTTAACACTTCCTGGTTCTAAAACAGGCATTGAATTTAAATTTAAATACCCATAAACAAACATACGTTAGAATAAAAAGTATTTTCAACTATAGCTTATGCACACACAGCTGAGGGTGAGACTGTGTACTATGGATGTGAAGTACTATTGCATACCATTGACGACCGGTACTTAAAACCTTTGACATGCTGTAAGTAAACTTTTGTACAAATATTGCATTACATCAGAGAACGAAAGTAAAGATGATTCATCCCTTTAAGTATTTTTACTGATATTTTTATCATTATATTTATAGCCTGTTAAAAGCACGAGAAAATAAAACCAACGGAAACTCGTCAATTCGAAAAAAATAAAAGGCTTAAACGGAATAAAGGAAATATAAAAATAACATATCTTATGGGTAACAAACGAAAAGACAAAATGCCTTGTAAATGTGGATGTTTGTCCGTCACCCTACTCAAGTGATAAAACTGAATACAAACTCTGGGAAATTGAAAGGAAGGTGGTTACGTAGAAAATCCTTAAGGAATACAGCTCCGAGAGAGAAAGCATGGAGAGTATGATACATAAAGATTACCATATTGATAACATTGAAGTCGTCATTTATATGCGCCTTTAAACATTCAATGAAAACAAAAGCGTTTTGTTTGGAACTTAATGGAAATATAGGAAATACCGAGTGAACATTGTGGTAAAATGAACGAAAACGATATATAACTTAGTTATGGATGTTACCATTGATGTATTCTTATTTAAATATACATCCTGGACAACAGACATCTGATCAAACTACCATCTATAACAAGTCACGTGGTGGTGTGTTGTGGTGTGTGGTGTGATGTGGTGTGTGGTGTGTGGTGTGGTGTGGTGTGTAGTGTGGTGTGTGGTGTGGTGTGGTGTGTGGTGTGGTTTGTTGTGTGTGATGTGGTGTGGTGTGTGGTGTGTGGTGTGGTGTGGTGTGTGGTGTGGTGTGTGGTGTGGTTTGTTGTGTGATGTGGTTTGGTGTGTAGTGTGGAGTATGCATTGTGGTGTGTAGTGTGTGTGGTGTGGTGTGTGGTGTGGTGTGTAGTGTGGTGTGGTATGGTGTGATGTGTTGTGTGGTGTGATGTGGTGTGGTGTGTAGTGTGTAGTGTGGTGTGTAGTGTGGTGTGGTGTGGTGTGTAGTGTGTGTTGTGTGGTGTTGTGTGGTATGTGGTGTGTAGTGTGGTGTGTAGTGTGGTGTGGTATGGTGTGACGTGGTGTGTGTTGTGTGGTGTGTGGTGTGGTGTGTGGTGTAGTGTGGTGTAGTGTGGTGTGTTGTGTGGTGTGTGATGTGGTGTGATGTGGTGTGAGGTGTGTGGTGTGTGGTGTAGTGTGGTGTAGTATGGTGTGTTGTGTGGTGTGGTGTGTGGTGTGTGATGTGGTGTGATGTGGTGTGAGGTGTGTGGTGTGTGGTGTGTGGTGTAGTGTGGTGTAGTATGGTGTGTTGTGTGGTGTGGTGTGTAGTGTGTGTTGTGTGGTGTTGTGTGGTATGTGGTGTGTAGTGTGGTGTGTAGTGTGGTGTGGTATGGTGTGACGTGGTGTGTGTTGTGTGGTGTGTGGTGTGGTGTGTGGTGTAGTGTGGTGTGTTGTGTGTTGTGTGGTGTGTGATGTGGTGTGATGTGGTGTGAGGTGTGTGGTGTGTGGTGTGTGGTGTAGTGTGGTGTAGTATGGTGTGTTGTGTGGTGTGGTGTGTGGTGTGTGGTGTGTGGTGAGGTGTAATGAAATGATACAATTTATACCTCATCTTGATATAAAGTCATCCAGCGTACTAAAGTTTACGAACATCTCTCGATGGAATATCAAAACAATTCCCCGTTATGTAAAAGAAAAATAACCACCCGTTTTGTTGTTGTAAATAGAGTTCTCCTATATTGTCGTCATCAATTACCAATGAAACACGTGTCAGTTATGATTATGTATTCCAAATGTGACATGATTACAAATGATTAGAAATGTTTTAGAATGAAAGCGCTGTGTTTCCACTGTAAACATGGAATTAAGCCTGTGAAGTCAGGAGAAAATTCTTCTGAAATACTCATTCACATAATTATTGACCACTCCCTCCATCCACACGTGTTGGACACGTGTTTATCGCACACATACTATTATCACTTACATTTGTTTATAACACAATAAATGATGACATTTATCGAAGTGTTGTACTTTTTATCAAGTCAACATTTCCGAGTTCTACTAATAAAATCTGCCCGAAAGTTAGCGTTCTGATGGCCGAATACCAAACCAAATCTTTGGTCTTTGCAGACTTTCACAGGAGATCTATATTTAGATATATAATAATTTGTAATGTGACTTCACACACTTCGATGTGTGTTTAACACGCGATTTTTGTGTACTTTAAATGTCCCGTTTTATTTTTCTCTTTTAGTCCCAAATTTAAAATTATCTTTAATAATGTAGGAGACAGGATAATGAGATTGGTAACTGAATATGCTCATAAAAATATATATTATGTGTGTGTTTATATCACCACGCTCGATTTACACTGTAGAATGTACTTACAACGCCAGATACAAACCGTTATAGCTGGTTTGACTGTTTGTATAATTAATAATAAAACTAAGGTTCCCGGTGTTTTACATGGTGTGAACCATCCAACAGATAAATTGTCAATGGTAGATTTATAGAAATGTCCAGACATATTGATAAATGTTGATATTACGACTTTGGTCGGGTAAGTCCTAGCTGGTAGACGAGTTGGTATACTCTCTATTATAACTGCCTGGTTTTCTTATTCTTTGCAGTCAATGTAAAGTTTCTATAATAAAATTTGGAATACAAAGATCAACAATGACATAAGGTATCAAGTGAAGTGTTTCGATATGAGGCCTAGTTATGATAAAATGTGATATTTTAATACTAACACTTGATAAATTGTAACAATCCACTTGTCCTTGTGTAAGGAACTCACTTCCAACAGTAGTACTTTATAATATCAAACAAAGAGACGGGTTTTAATGTAGAAAACACACTTTATATGTTTTGATTAAATGCAATATAATGTTGACTTACTTAACAAAGTACAAGCTTGGAGGAGTTGAAATCGACTTACATTTCTGTGTACTTTAACGTCAATATGTAAGTATCGGTCAGCAATACAAACTGTCTGTCACGTGTGATTTACTCTCATTTACAAACTTTCTCACGTGGCTGCACGATTACAGGTGGTCAGTCCTATTACTAGAAATGCTGGATTCTTCGCTGATTCTATTACGTTTAGCTAAAACCACACTTCAACCTGGAAACATGTCTGTCCTTCAGTACATTTGTATTTATATCAAATATGATTTGAAAAACTATAAGAACTGACGCGGAAATTGCTTTAGCTGACTTTCATGTACTAAAAAATTTGTCTGACCTCATTTGGAATCTAGCTGACATGAGTAAGTAAAATCTCTGGACTTATTTGGAATCCAGCTGTCATGGTTAAGTGAAATCTCTGGACTAATTTGGAACCCAGCTGACCTGATTTAGTAAAATCTCTGGACTCGTTTTGAACCCAGCTGATATGATCTAGTAATGTCTCTGGACTTACAAAAAACTTATATATGTGACCTTATTTGTCAACTTGGTTGATGAAGCAATATCTCCAGAACTGACTAAGAAACTCGAACCACGTAAACCCGGCAACCAATAAATTGCTGTTTTAAATGTATCCTTTTTGTGTATATCATAAAAGATTCGATCTTCAACAAATCTTAAACTCGGGGATTATTTGATCTGTATACTGGTTGATCAGTTAATAGTCCACATACACGAGTAGACCTGTAGGTTTTAAGCTCCTCAACTAATGAAATACGCCTTTTACGTAACTCTGACGCTTTTTCTATTAAATGCTGGGATTAGTCTGGTTAAATGGACGACAGGTCATTCACAGGAAATGGTGCATATACAATAAACACCATTTCGTTATGTTAATGCGGCGGTTTTTTGTTCAGCAGGGTGTGTTATATGTGTGTGTAAAATTGTATTTAAAACTCCCACACGGTACTACGTAACTGAATAAGATCAAACCACACTTTTATTCGGTTGGTTTATGTATTTGAGTATTGTTTGTTGATGGCAGTAAGATGTATTGAAAATGGTGAAAATTTATGACTTCAGTTTAATATAAAATTTTTTAGGAAATATTCAGATGTTGTGGACTGTTTCCATCATCCATTATTTGAAACAAGATTGCAAGAAACAAACACAGTTATCCTATGGTACTATCAGATGTTTAACTTCCACATTAATTTACGGGATGACTAGCTATATATAAAAGCTTTTCATCAAGAACGTATGAAATCATATGCTCTCTGAAATGTGATTTGTGTTTGAGATAGGGCTATATGTCACCTTAGCAATATTGACTGTTTGTTACATGTACTTTTTACATTGTAAATGGAATCCGTACTAGAATGTTATCAACAACCAAATAACTTGTGAGAACCTAATTTTTATTAAGAACTAAGAACAAGAATTAAGAGTATTTTTTTCAAAATGGAACTCTTTCAGAATTCGGAAAAAATTGATAAAAGTGTTGCAAACAAAATGAAATCTCCGCGATTCTCTTTCATAATCTCAAAATTAGCTATATGCATAAGGGAGATTATTACTAGCTGGACGCTGAGATCAAGAACTCTCATCTGCTGACGGTAAGGCATCAAAGATCTATTTTCATGTGATAGGGCCCTTACTTTGGTAGAAATACAATGATGTACTTACTTGTTGCAGGTAGAGAAGAACCGAACGACAGGCAGGCGATATTCTGATGATGAATACTTCTAAAGGCCCACGATTTAAGCCGTTCTTCCTCCTCCGGGGACTTTGTTCTCCTTCGGTTTCGGAGTCACTCATAGTTGTCGACATGGCTGACGTCACATATATGACGTCACACTGATTAATTCTTATTGATGAAAATAACAACTTTTATAGAAAAATACAAAACACGCGTTTAGAAACCTCTGCTCGTCTGCTCGTCTGCATCAATTAGCAACAGATCCTTGCAATAGAAATTCGATCAACTTTAATGTGATTTGATATCAATCAAACAACTGGAATGATTCCAAAGATGTATATCACAAATTACTCCAGGCTATGATAGGAAATCACTTACAATAATGGACTGATACATCACTCCACGTGCGCTGTGTTCTCTTACACAATTTAAAGTAAAAGTATTACGATCCCCATACACTACCAGTTAGAGGGTACGGGTGAGAAATATACGGTTTGTAGTCCGTTCACAATCATCGAAGCGTGACGTGTTTACCTGCGACCATAACGATAGGTACAAAATATCAAATGAATCTGACAGGTAAACACTGGACAAATTTCCAACTTAAAATATCACCGTGAACCGGTAAAACATTCCTTATGTTACGTCCTTAAGTCGCACTCACAACACTGTCACCTGGGTGAACATTGCTCTTCAGATTTAATGAACCGATCTCGCTATAAACACCAATGCCAAAGTTAAATACAGCCATACCTTTAAATGTTTCTGTAGTTACATAATTACTGTTTAATCTGTACCCCTGTCATTCAGTGTTACAGAACGTTTTTAATGAAACTGTTGAACGATTCGTTCATGAAGTTGATTTACCGCACAATGCATAATCGGGCACCTGAGATAGTGAGGTGAGTCGCACCTAACAAGTTGTTTCACCATATAATCTATTTCTAATATCAACAAATTCTCAATCTTACTTGAAGAGTCTTTCATAAAATTTAATTATGAATATATGTCTCAAATCTTGGTCACAATCACAATACTACGCCACATCAATATTAATATTGTACATTGTAAAGTCCAAGCGTTCAAATAATAAAATGAGCAATTCAGTAAGGAATCATTAGAGACGGATCTAAGTTGAATTAATTCGAGTTATTACATATAACTTTATCATTTAAACTATACAATAAAATTTACATATTATCACAAACAGTTTCATCACTGACACATTATCACATACAGTTTCATCACTAACACATTATCACATACAGTTTCATCACTAACACATTATCACACACAGTTTCATCACTAACACATTATCACACACAGTTTCATCACTAACACATTATCACAAACAGTTTCATCACTAACACATTATCACATACAGTTTCATCACTAACACATCATCACATACAGTTTCATCACTAACACATTATCACATACAGTTTCATCACTAACACATTATCACATACAGTTTCATCACTAACACATCATCACATACAGTTTCATTACTAACACATTATCACATACAGTTTCATCACTAACACATTATCACATACAGTTTCATCACTAACACATTATCACATACAGTTTCATCACTAACACATTATCACATACAGTTTCATCACTAACACATTATCACAAACATTTTCAACATTTTACAAATTATCACATACAGTTTTTGTTGATACTATCTGGCACCACTGTACTGCTGTACTATAAAGGTAAGTCCCAAGAGGTAAGGTCGTTTGTTCAATAGTTTAGCATTATATGATATATATATGTTTAATGGCAGAGCCAGACCCTATATACACATCATCAATCCAAAGGAAACAAATCAATATAGTATGTTTGTGTGCATAATTTCATGTCTATTATTGAATATATGGTAAATGTAGAATAGAAGTTCTTCTAACACAACCAGTAGATTAGGATTATAGTAGTACAGCCGAAAAAGTGGTTCGATTCCTTACCATCTCGTCACACTATTACAGTACAGCCGAAAAGGTTGACCGATTCCTTACCATCTCGTCACACTATTATAGTACAGCCGAAAAAGTTTGTCGATTCCTTACCATCTCGTCACACTTTTATAGTACAGCCGAAAAGGTTGACCGATTCCTTACCATCTCGTCACACTATTACAGTACAGCAGACAAAGTGGTTCGATTCCTTACCATCTCGTCACAGTATTAGTAAACGTCACACTCTAATCTTCTACTGGTTGTGTTATAAGATCTCGTGACCGTGTAGTCATGGAAACGTCACACTCTAATCTTCTACTGGTTGTGTTATAAGATGAAGGTGACCGTGTAGTCATGGAAACGTCACACTCTAATCTTCTACTGGTTGTGTTATAAGATGAAGGTGACCGTGTAGTCATGGAAACGTCACACTCTAATCTTCTACTGGTTGTGTTATAAGATGAAGGTGACCGTGTAGTCATGGAAACGTCACACTCTAATCTTCTACTGGTTGTGTTATAAGATGAAGGTGACCGTGTAGTCATGGAAACGTCACACTCTAATCTTCTACTGGTTGTGTTATAAGATGAAGGTGACCGTGTAGTCATGGAAACGTCACACTCTAATCTTCTACTGGTTGTGTTATAAGATGAAGGTGACCGTGTAGTCATGGAAACGTCACACTCTAATCTTCTACTGGTTGTGTTATAAGATGAAGGTGACCGTGTAGTCATGGAAACGTCACACTCTAATCTTCTACTGGTTGTGTTATAAGATGAAGGTGACCGTGTAGTCATGGAAACGTCACACTCTAATCTTCTACTGGTTGTGTTATAAGATGAAGGTGACCGTGTAGTCATGGAAACGTCACACTCTAATCTTCTACTGGTTGTGTTATAAGATGAAGGTGACCGTGTAGTCATGGAAACGTCACACTCTAATCTTCTACTGGTTGTGTTATAAGATGAAGGTGACCGTGTAGTCATGGAAACGTCACACTCTAATCTTCTACTGGTTGTGTTATAAGATGAAGGTGACCGTGTAGTCATGGAAACGTCACACTCTAATCTTCTTCTACTGGTTGTGTTATAAGATGAAGGTGACCGTGTAGTCATGGAAACGTCACACTCTAATCTTCTACTGGTTGTGTTATAAGATGAAGGTGACCGTGTAGTCATGGAAACGTCACACTCTAATCTTCTACTGGTTGTGTTATAAGATGAAGGTGACCGTGTAGTCATGGAAACGTCACACTCTAATCTTCTACTGGTTGTGTTATAAGATGAAGGTGACCGTGTAGTCATGGAAACGTCACACTCTAATCTTCTACTGGTTGTGTTATAAGATGAAGGTGACCGTGTAGTCATGGAAACGTCACACTCTAATCTTCTACTGGTTGTGTTATAAGATGAAGGTGACCGTGTAGTCATGGAAACGTCACACTCTAATCTTCTACTGGTTGTGTTATAAGATGAAGGTGATGTAGTCATGGAAACGTCACACTCTAATCTTCTACTGGTTGTGTTATAAGATGAAGGTGACCGTGTAGTCATGGAAACGTCACACTCTAATCTTCTACTGGTTGTGTTATAAGATGAAGGTGACCGTGTAGTCATGGAAACGTCACACTCTAATCTTCTACTGGTTGTGTTATAAGATGAAGGTGACCGTGTAGTCATGGAAACGTCACACTCTTTTAATGTGTTATAAGATGAAGGTACTGGTTGTGTTATAAGATGAAGGTGACCGTGTAGTCATGGAAACGTCACACTCTAATCTTCTACTGGTTGTGTTATAAGATGAAGGTGACCGTGTAGTCATGGAAACGTCACACTCTAATCTTCTACGTGTCGTGTTATAAGATGAAGGTGACCGTGTAGTCAATGTTCACACTCTAATCTTCTACTGGTTGTGTTATAAGGATGAAGGTTGTAGTATGGAAACGTCACACTCTAATCTTCTACTGGTTGTGTTATAGGATGAAGGTGACCGTGTAGTCAGTCACACTCTCCTTCTACATTGTGTTATAAAAACATCTTCTACTGGTTGTGTTATATGGATGAACGTGTACACCGTGTAGTCAATCACTCTAATGTTTCTACTGGTTGTGTTATAAGATGAAGGTGACCGTGTAGTCATGGAAGGCGGTCAAGTGATAATGATCACCATGTTGTAAACGGCTGGATACGTATGTAGAAATAACACGATGACAAATGATAATTTGAATTAGCCCATACCCTCCCAAATTAAGTCATATATTGAATTACAGTGCGTCATCATAAATAGACTTAATAGGTTGATTACATTCCTCTGTATGTACAATTTTAGTATAAAATGTCAATTACTAATATCAAATTAAATAAACTACAATTCCTGGTAAACTGATATGTTACACATTATATAAGTACCCCGATCTTAAATTTGTTGTTGGACAAAAAATAGTTATAATAATACCCAAAGTCTTTCTCTAAGCATGACACATGAATGAGAATGAATGAATGATTGAATTTGTAGGAATTAATGAATTAATGAATGATTCGATAGATGAATAGGACTGTTTGATAAAGATTAATGAATGAGTGACTTGAAAATATACCAAACCACATATTTCGAGGTTAGTGATCTCGATTTCCAATCGGCCCAAATATAATGTATTATCCCCCTTTAACTGTTTTTTCTCGTGGACAAGTTCGAATTATAATTCTTGGCTTTTTTTAGCGCAAAATAAGAGAAAAAATATTAATTAAGGCATCATATACCTTAAGTATCCGAATTATGTCTGAAGCCTTCAGTTTATATAGATATGTTACACATCATACAAGTTCTCCGATCTTAAATAGTTATGATAATACCCAAAGTCTTTCTCTAAGCGTGACATACGAATATTGTATAGAATATACACTGATCTGGATTACTTAGTCAACTCACAGTTAATGACAACTATTGGGAATATGAATGAATGAATAGGAGTGATTGATTGAATGAATGATTCGATAGATGAGTAGGACCGTTTGATAAAGAGTATTGATGAATGAGTCACTGTAAATCATTATCAACCACATATTTTGAGGTTAGTGACCTCGATTTCCAATCGGCACAAATATAACGCATTGTCTCCCTTTAACTGTTTTTTTCTCTCTTGATGAAATTCGAATTATAATTCTTGGCTTTTTTTTAGCGCAAAATAAGAAGGAAAAATTAATTCAGGCATCATATACCATAAGAACTTCAACCCAGTACAAATGTCAAAAATGTCAAAAATCCAAATAGGCTCTTAAATGATGTGACAATGGAAAAAGCCCAACTCCTGGAGAAGTAACATTCAAAACGGAACAGCATATACTTTCTTTACGTAATGATAGATTATAAACATGCCCGCCTTTAAACCAAATAAGATTTTTTAACATAGATATATGATGAGAAAGACTGTCAGCGAAAACAAACGACAGATCTACTACAAAATACCATTCACATTTACTAATCCACCTGGGGGTACAACCTGTTAAAATGGAATCTTCTAAAACAAGCATCGTTTTACGCGGTAGATTCAGTTCCTATATATATAGAGAGAGAAAGAAATGTCAAAAGTTTAACTGTTAAAATCGACTGTTGACCGCTTTACGGAAACATACGAGTACGCCCGAGTGATAACGATGTTTTGTTTAGATAAGAGTTATCTTCTCTTATCGTCTGCACAACAAAATGGCAACCAGTAATAGAAGGCCGAGGGCAACAGTTTGCTGAGGGTTCAACAGATCATCTGTTGCCTTCAACCCCAGTCAATAACTGCATACTATTGTATTCTTCAAAATCTCTGAATACTTTGGATTTGATATCTCTGAATAACTTGGGTTTGATATTTTTAAATCACTTGGGTTTGGTATTTCTAAATAACTTGGGTTTGGTAGCTTTAGATAACTTGGTATCTTAAAATATCTTGGTTTGGTATCTCTAAATAATTTTTCATGATAAAGTCTCTTATACTTTTTGATATAATGAAGATACGATATTTTATATATCCCCATCGTCAATGATTAAAGTAGTCGAGATAAGATGGTGGTTTTATGCAGTCGTCATATCTGGAATATCAAGTAATTTGATAATGCAACTGGATCGAACATCGCGTTATATTTTGTAGATTGAAATGTAAAATTTACGTATCTTGCTCGATAAATATTGTTGTGTGTATACATTGTAACAGTACACAGAAATTAACCACTGGCTGTCTTTTTGAACGCGTAATTAACAGATTCGTGTTGCATATATGACGTGGTTTAAGAATTGCTAAACGGGCAAGGGAGATAACTTTACGGTCCCCAATGTTAGCAAAATAGGGACGGTCTACACAAAACAATAATATAGAAAATAAAAAAAGAAATCTATGGTGAATGAATAAGAATACTTGTTTTTTTCTTGTACCAAGATGAATTATCTTATTTTGTTTCAATAACGAATTACGAATCAGATTCAACAGCAATATATTACAATAGATTACAATACATATATCCCTTTGGAAAGATCTATAGTCATTTGAAGCTTGAAATCATTTTGAAATGTTTTGTTGGTATGAAGTTTTATGCCCAGCCATATACAGACTAAGTAAGAGCGTGTGACAAATCGATTTGGAGTTTCACGTCGTTTTATGGTTTTCTGTTAGAGTCATTGTTCTGTGAACTTTAAGAGATATTGATATGAAATGAAGGCTTTTTGACGAATGTTTAAGGGTTATATTTAAGGGAGTCTTATGGTTTTTGTCCTTTCTCAAAGAGGAACGAACCTTTATTTTTTTAAATTGTTTAAAATATTTCATTTTTGTCAAGTCGATATGAATGGACTGACACTTGATGTGTGTCTTTACACCAAACGGCACGTGACTTTAATAAAAACAATGCAATACTTTGTGAGACCAAGGCTCAGTATTATTGGCGTTTTCTTATGAAGAAATTCACACTTGGATGAACATGAACAATTAGATAAATAAAATAAATCAAGAGGCTAATTGGGACTGCATTGCTCACCTGGTTTTACTTGCCTGGATGTGTTTCATTAAAGCTAATTAAGGAATTCTAAATAACCAAGTACACAACATACAACGTATCCATTTTCAAATTTGGCCCCAAAACTCTGTCCTTAGGGAGTCAGTCAAACCATTCATGCTTCTGACCAGACAGAATCCTGCTATTTCTATTTTCGGATTTTAAAGACCTTTAAGGCCCCATCTATCCCGCTCATTCATTCCTACAGGAGAAGTAGGATTTTAAAGACCTTGTTCTATTTCCGCTCTAATGGCCCCATCTATCCCGCTCATTCATTTCTACAGGAGGAGTAGGATTTTAAAGAATTTCTTCGATTTCCCATATTGGGCACCACCTCTCCTACAAATGGGGACCGACATCCATTGTTTATTAAAAATTTCACCTTCAACCTCAGATCAAATTTGGACAAAATCTATTCATCGCCCATCCCTTCCCCTCCTCTCGCCCCAAGGGGCCGACACCCAACGTTTCTGTATGATTAATTTCCCTTCACCTTAAAATAATGCAGACAAAATTATAACTATTTTAGTGTTACAACAGAAGGAGCGGGATTTTAACGAATTTGTTCTATTTCCCATATCGGGTCCCTATCCTTCACTCCAAAGGGGAAGACACCTACATTTAATACGAAATTGATTCCCATTTACCCAAGAATGCCACTGACCAAATTTAGATTAAATCTAATCATTCCTACAGGAGAAGTAATATTTTGTAAAATTTGCCCTATTTACCCTATTGGGACCCCTCGACCAGGGGGCGACACCTACCTTTCATTAAAAATAGTGTTTCCCTTTCACATACGAAAGTCTCGGCCCAAATTCAGACAAAATCTGATAATTCTGACAGGAGGAGTAGTATTTTCAAGAACTTTAAAAATTTCCCCGTTTTAGTCAACCCCTTCCAGCCCAGAGGGTCAAGAACAAACGCTTATACATTTGTTCCCTTTCTAAAATGAACGCTCCGGCTCTCAGTCGGTATGACATAACCTAGTCGGTAACTAGAAAAACCTGATAAAAATAGCAATTTAAAAATCATATGCATATACACATATATGTATGGATATGCGGTGTACATTAAGATAATATAGTTAGATAATCTCTGTTACACGCGACGTCTGTGTGTGACCTTTACGTGACAGCAAGCTTACACCTCAGTATCTGTCAAATTGCCACTTCCTGGTTATAGTTTCAGTTCCTCTATTTCCCAACGGAATATCACGTTATTTCAAACAACGTAAATGGAATTCTTTTACACAATACACAATGAAAAGTTAAGGTCAGATTATATTTCTCCCATTTCTCGATTTTTCTTGTTTTATTCTGTTATTTTAATATTTTTGTGAAATATGTAATATAACTGTGGTGTGTATTGTGTGTTATATAACAGAGGAGTGCATTTGGATATGTAGTATATCTATAGTTTGTATTGTTAAATGCACTATTACTGTGAAGTCTATATCATATATTTCTGTGATGTCTATATCATATATTTCTGTAATGTATATTGATATGTGTAATACTACTGTAATGTGTATTGTTAAATGCACTATTACTGTGATGTCTATATCATATATTTCTGTAATGTGTATTGATATGTGTAATATTACTGTGATGTGTATTGATATGTGTAATAATACTGTGATGTGTATTGATATGTGTAATATTACTGTGATATATATTGATATGTGTAATATTACTGTGATGTGTATTGATATGTGTAATATTACTGTGATGTATATTGATATGTGTAATATTACTGTGATGTGTATTGATATGTGTAATATTACTGTGATGTGTATTGATATGTGTAATATTACTGTGATGTTGATATATGTAATATATACTGTCATATTGATATGTGTAATATTACTGTAATGTGAATTGATGTCTTATATTACTGTAATGTGTATTGATATGTGTAATATTACTGTAATGTATATTGATATGTGTAATATTACTGTAATGTGTATTGATATGTGTAATATTACTGTAATGTGTATTGATATGTGTAATATTACTGTAATGTGAATTGATGTCTTATATTACTGTTATGTGTATTGATATGTGTAATATAACTGTAATGTGTATTGATATGTGTAATATTACTGTGATGGGTATTGATGTTTGTGATGAAGTTATCATAGGTAAATAAATGACGAGTATATACAGTAGATATAAAATAAAAACAAACGTCGTATTTAAGTTTAATGTAACATTTACTACGTAATGTTAAATCACTAGTTCTACCATTGGTCATTTTAAAACAAGAACACATAAAAGAAATGCCTAACCCCTGTTTTTTCTGCCAAATCGAAACAGAAATTTGAATAAACCGAAGTTGTGAAATGAATATGAAACAGACTTTTTTCATCTGCGTTTTAGTGGCATTATCGTTAGATTTTGAACACGTGGGACACTGCTGGAGGCAATGAATATTACTTATCATCTAACAGTTACAACAAATGAACGTCATATTGAGACGATAACTAAACATAGTAACAATTGAGGAAGACAACGTTTCTAACAAAGACAATCGTATCCGAGCTATGCAGACTATGTGAAATATCTTGGTACCAATCTAATATCAATTAATAACGATATTTGGTTATACCTTCAAAGGTAGATATGGTTTCAGTGCAAGTGGACTTAAAACATAATAAAAATTATATGAAATACTTTAACACGTGATTAACTGCTCGCGTCACTAGATACGCCGTCCGCTTCTACAGAAGGACTCTTGTCAGCGCCAATCGGCAGGTTAGGCATTACATACGTCACGTGATCACTTGCCCTTTCACCTGCCGTTGAATTCAATAATGGGTGCGACGTACATTGAATGTTATTAAGTTCGGGTAAAACTGCCACCATGTAATCACCAGATATGTCCGAAGTGGTGGAATCATTGCTTTGTCTTAAAGTCCCGATATTGTTTCGAATTATAGAAGCATTTATTCTATCGTTTATATGATTCTCATCTTCCTCGTCTTGGGAACTCGTAAAAACCAGAGAACAATTATCAATCATCTTGTCCACGTGCAATGCAAATGGTAGTCGGATCGACTCTTTTGTAAAATTCTTCTTATTAATATTAAGTTTTTCATCCTCACAAGTAGAAATATTTCTATTGTCATAGCTTCGTACATATCCTAAATTGTTGTTTCTCATATCAACATTTGTGGTTCCTGGTGCACACGTGGGTCGGGTATAATCGTCACTTCCGGTCAAACCCATGCTGTGGTAGCTGTACACATTATATAGTCTCTGAACTGAATTAAGTATTAACCAAACATTAATCACAGAAAAAAATATTAAACTTACAAAGAAAGCCGTTAGCGGCGCATACTTCATGCTGAATGGCGTTTCTCGACAAATACATAATACCAGAAACACAAACGGCACTGCTCCTCGGAAAATAGACGTGACGACACAACCAACGATGCTTAACTTCCGATAAAAACTTGTCTTATTCTCGTTCATGTCTTTAGCTGTTCGGGCAAATTCGATGACCGTCGTATTCATCTCCATAGTGATGCCAACAAGAGCTAAAAGTAAATTCTGCATATATATCACAAAAATTGAGTAGCAGACAACAGTTGTAACGTGATGGACTATGTCGATGCGCAGACGTGCCATGTTTGTGGGCTTCGGTATATAAATATGTTGGGCTATCACATACACATACTTGCCAAGATAGATGGCCAGAGCGACCTGGACAGCGTCTTTAAAGGCGGGGTCAATTTTGCTCTGGAAGGGTGAAGACAGAACACCAGACACACTTATAAGGACCAAACTAAAGACAACAGCGACCACCAGCACCAACTGTTCCGTCACTCTGTCAATAAAGAGGAAAACAAACTCTTGAATTAGCAGAATAAAACAATGACACACATCTATATAACACACAACCTAAGCTAGGCTTGTTGACTTCACTCCTATGATATTCTGCTGATAGGCTCAAACATGCTTGTGCAAGTTTTGCCACAGCGAATTGGCCGAGCATTAAAAAGTCTTCATCTATCATATTTACATGTGCGATATATGTACTTTGCACTTGTTGGTTATAATTGGTGAGGAAATAGACCGCTTTAAACTTGTACAGCCATTATTCCTGTTCTAACAAAAAATACATCAGGTTGAAGCTATACAAACAGTTTAGGTTATCAGTCATCACAGACAAGGAAGAGAACTTATCACCTAAAATCCTGTCTTTGATTGGCTGAATACCAAATCACCTGTGCTTTTTTAAAATGCCAGCGCTGACATTTCCACTTAAAAATCATCGACTGCCATTCTCTCGGTTAACCTGACAATACAAGTGAGTGTTCAGTCTTATTTCCATGTTTCCTAGCTAGCAGGAAGATAAATTCGTTTGTTTAAAGTTAAGAACCATTATCGAAATTGGACGTTAAGAACCATATACACTACCTGTAGTAAGAATCCTTCGGTCTACCTATGTTTGTGTACATGTATTTCAATTGATATTACAAGTTAGGAGTCACTATATATTTATCTTCCTCCTATCCCGTTTGTTTGTCAGCTTGTATCGCAGCATTATGAACCAAAAACATTTGATTATGTTTGTGGGTGTAGCACCCGCTGTTAATCTTATGGAGTACCTTTGTACTGTACATAAAATAAATATAGACGGAAAAAGTCGAAGGGTGAAACACTCGGAAGTTGTGGTGAACACAAATAATCAGTGTACATATATAGATTAGCAATTTATTCCAACATTAATGGAATTGCTTGGCTATATGATGGCTAATTTGCTCCCCATCTTTGTAGTCCTGGGTATATTTTTTAGGATATCTCTGATTGGTTAACATTAAGTACAGTTGATTACTGTACTGTTAATAAACAGGAAGTTGTAATCGTCATATTTTCTGTCGTCATTTGTTATTTTTAATAAATGGCATATTTCAATTGCAATCAGAGTCTGGTTTTGTGTATTTAGAATAAGTATAACCCAGGTTACAAACAGAGCACATCCTTTGTTCGGTGCAGCGCTAAATACATATTCCGCAGCGGTCAGTGGGCATAGAGCAAGACTTTTCTTTCAATACTGTGCCTTGTCCGAAAGGCTCTGACTGTCTATACGCGGATTCGCGGTCGAAACAAGGAAATTTCCATGGCTCGGCATTCTGGCATTTACAACAGTCAGTACCACCTGACAGATGTGCTATAGCAGAAATGACGTCACAGATTTTTGGTGCCGAAGATTTCCGAACACGACCATATGAAACCGAAGAGTGGACAGGTAACCAAACTCAACTGTACTCGGCTACAGCCGTATCAAGAGGTGAACATCGATTAAGGCTACTATATTCACGTGACATCTACATTAAGCACAGAGACCTGTAAAATCGTTGTCGGTGACCTTTAACGTAATTCACAACAGAGTTATGCCTGCAAATAACTCATCGACGGAAAGATAAAGTTACGTACGAGCTGAAACCATTGATGGTCGTTAACTAAATGTAATAACTCATTTCCCCTACAACCCCACTTTCAAGCACATTTTTTAAGAGACCGCTATTTCAACATCCCAGGAGATATGTGTTATATATCTAAAAGTATTACAGGGATGTCAGGCAATTACAAAATGTGTTTGAAGATGATGTTTTTAGTCAACAGCAGTAATTGTTTTGATTTAATCATAGGTAAGCGGGGGAATGCTTCATTTTACCATCGATGTGTAATTATATATGTATAAAACATTACATCAACGCCGACGCATGCAAAGGTTGCTAAAATTTCATCTTTGTACACATAAGTAGGAGAAATTCTTACTACAGTGTACATGTATACCTAAAGTAAAGAATAAAACTGCGGAATAGATATGTGTAGTGTTCGAGAGGCATTGATGAGCAGGCTGTTATGTTAGCATATCTCTTTATCAGACAACTCAAGATAAACTGTCATATGTAAATATCTATTGTTAGATACAATTAACAATATATAGGACAATGTTGTTCCTGGATGACGTCATCAATATGATCAACTGTTCAAAAATGTCACAACCAATCCCGTTGTGAGCGTTAATTCACCAATCACATACATTGTCATTTCCGTGTTGGAATCAATACATAACATGTGAGAACGTGTCTATTGCATTGATCGATTCCTAAAAATAGTTTTATGCGGAAAATCGACGGGGAATCCCCTACATATCCCTGTCGATTGCAAATGCAGTCTCTTTTTAATTTTTTTTTCTATTAATAATTGTTTATCCAATCTGCCGCCGCTCTCTTATCCGTTGTTTACAAAGAAGAGTTTCAGGTCTACGCCCAGTATTGTGTTACAGTTTCTGGTGAATTGAAATGAAACACCATGCCCAAGTATATCCAATATGGCATCCAACAAATACACTCTGCTGAGCTAATAAAGGCCATCGCAACCAGAATACACAACAGGTAAAAAGTATACAGATGGCAAACTGGTGTTTAACAATAAGATACAGTAGGAATACATACATCATATACCGGTAAACATAGACACCATACCTGTACATAGACATCATACCCGTACATAGACCATATACACCATACCTGTACACATAGACACCATACCTGTACACATAGACACCATACCTTTAAACATAGACACCATACCTGTACATAGACATCATACCCGTACATAGACCATATACACCATACCTGTACACATAGACACCATACCTGTACACATAGACACCATACCTGTATATATAGACACCATACTTGTACACATAGACACCATACCTGTATATATAGACACCATACCTCTACACATAGACATCATACCAGTATATATAGACACCATACTTGTACACATAGACACCATACCTGTACATATAGACACCATACCTCTACACATAGACACCATACCTGTAAACATAGACACCATACCTGTATATATAGACACCATACTTGTACACATAGACACCATACCTGTACATATAGACACCATACCTCTACACATAGACACCATACCTGTAAACATAGACACCATACCTGTACATAGACATCATACCCGTACATAGACCATATACACCATACCTGTACACATAGACATCATACCAGTACATAGACCATATACACCATACCTGTACATAGACACCATACCTGTACACATAGACACCATACCTGTATATATAGACACTATACTTGTACACATAGCCACCATACCTGTATATATAGACACCATACCTCTACACATAGACATCATACCAGTATATATACCAAATACACCATAACTGTACACATAGACACCATACCTGTATATATACACACCATACCTGTACATAGACATCATAACAGTACATATACCATATACACCATACCTGTACATAGACACCATATATGTACATATAGACACCATACCTATACACATTAACACCATATCTGTACATATAGACACCTTATCTGTGAATATAGATACCATACCTGTACACATAGACACCATACATGTACATATTGACACCATACCTGTACATAGACATCATACATGTACATATAAACACCATACCTGTACACATAGACACCATACTTGTACACATAAACACCATACCTGTACATATAGACATCATACCTGTACATATAGACACCATACCTATATACATAGACATCACACCTGTACATATAAACACCATACCTGTACATATAGACATCATACCTGTACATATAGACACCATACCTGTACACATAGACACCATACCTATATACATAGACACCATACATGTACACATATACACCATACCTGTACACATAGACACCATACCTCTACACATAGACACCATACTTCTACACAAAGACACTATACCTGTACACATAGACACCATACCTGTACATATAGACACCATACCTCTACACATACACACCATACCTCTACACATACACACCATACCTCTACACATACACACCATACCTGTACACATAGACACCATACCTGTACATATAGACACCATACCTCTACACATACACACCATACCTGTACACATAGACACTATACCTGTACACATAGACACCATACCTGTACATATAGACACCATACTTCTACACATACACACCATACCTCCACACATACACACCATACCTGTACATTTAGACATTATACCTGTACATAGAGACATCACACCTATAAAAATTAATATATTTGATGGTTAATGTCGTGACAAATCAGATTAAAACAAATTTACTAACACGAGCGAAAAGACATGATCTATTTACCTTCTGGCTAAGTGTTCCGGCTTATCCGCATATACCTGGCTGGCGACGATGAGTAAATTATATTTGTTACAGCAGCATTTCCTTGCCAGGTATGAACGTCCCTTTAGACACAAACAATGTATTAAAACACACCCGTTGACCGTCAGAGACAGGGCCAATATTACTGTCCACTCTGTGGTCATGTTCCTACCTTTTCGGTCACTTTCTGTATTAGGCGTAATATTAAAAACATTGATTATCTGGTTCTGAACCGCTCAACAATTGCAAGCAGACGAAAACATTGAAACTGTCTAAAAATAGACACTTCCTCGTTTTCTAAACTTCCTGGTTGTAAGCCGGCCCCTTTACGCCTACCATAAACACGTTTTGTACGACGAAGCAATCTCTCGGCATTATCTAAACGAATGTCAGTTTTAAAAGACCCGCGTAGCGTAGCAAAAAGATAGTGTACACGTATCATGTAACATATTTATTTAAACAATGGTTGCAAACCAATTTATTCTAAATCTTTTATATATCACGTGTATTATGGACAGCTGTCAGATATACATCTGACGTAAGCTATTGTATAAAATGTGTTTTATGTATTAGACAATGCCTTGTAGGCATTTTGTCTTATATCTATATTGAACACTTGGTTGGACAATTTGATTAACATTTCGTTTCGAGAGAAAATATCATTTTTAACAAACATATACTGTAATAGGAGACGTTTTTTTTTCACAATATATCTAATAAAGCTGCACATAATAACAGAATGAAAATTGTTAAAATGGTATTTAATCCCTAACTGAATTCTCGAGGATATGTTTTAACATCAATGCGTTTTAGCTAGGTTAGGACAAATCCCTAACCTACTTCCTGGTCAGACATTGACAACACTCTGTGTTAGCTAGCTTAGGACAGATCCCTAACCTACTTCATGGTCAGACATTTACAACACTCTGTGTCACCGCGGTTAGGACAGATCCCTAACCTACTTCCTGGTCAGACATTGACAACACTGTGTTAGCTCGGTTAGGACAGATCCCTAATCTACTTCCTGATCAGACATTGACAACACTCTGTGTTAGCTAGCTTAGGACAGATCCCTAATCTACTTTCTGGGCAGATTTTAAAAAACACTCTGTGTTAGCTCGGTTAGGACAGATCCCTAACCTACTTCCTGGTCAGACATTGACAACACTCTGTGTTAGCTCGGTTAGGTCAGATCCCTAAACTACTTCATGGTCAGATATTGACAACACTCTGTGTTAGCTCGGTTAGGACAGATCCCTAATCTACTTCATGGTCAGACATTTACAACACTCTGTGTCACCGTGGTTATAACAGATCCCTAACCTACTTCCTCGTCAGACATTGACAACATTGTGTGAGCTCGGTTAGGTCAGATCCCTAAACTACTTCATGGTCAGATATTGACAACACTCTGTGTTAGCTAGGTAAGGACAGATCCCTAATCTACTTCATGGTCAGACATTTACAACACTCTGTCACCATGGTTATAACAGATCCCTAACCTACTTCCTCGTCAGACATTGACAACATTGTGTGAGCGCGGTTAGGTCAGATCCCTTAACTACTTCATGGTCAGATATTGACAACACTCTGTGTTAGCTAGGTTAGGACAGATCCCTAACCTACTTCCTGGTTAAACATTGACAACACTCTGTGTTAGCTAAGTTAGAACAGATCCCTAATCTACTTTCTGGTTAAACATTGACAACACTCTGTGTTAGCTAGATTAGGACAGATCCCCAACCTACTTCCTGGTTAAACATTGACAACACTCTGTGTTAGCTAGGTTAGGACAGATCCCTAATCTACTTCCTGATCAGACATTGACAACACTCTGTGTTAGCTAGGTTAGGACAGATCCCTAACCTATTTCCTGGTTAAACATTGACAACACTCTGTGTTAGCTAGCTTCGGACAGATCCCTTATCTATTTCCTGGGCAGACAATGACAACAGTCTGTGTTAGCTCGGTTGGGACATATCGCTAACCTACTTCCTGGGCAGACATTGACAACATCCTGTGTTAGCTCGGTTAGGACAGATCCATAACCGACTTCCTGGTCAGACATTGACAACAATCTGTGTGAGCTGAACTCGCGATATTCTCATTTTATACAACATTAGTTGGTGACGTCACAATGCATTTGCAGTATAGGGAAACCATGGAAACACTGATAGCAGCATAGGCAATTGATAAATAGACAAGTCTGACAGCAGATCATTGTGGTTGTCAGCAGTTCCTTTACTTAAAGTTAGAACAAATTTACATAAAACGGTAATGGTGCAATATATTGTCTTTTCATCCGTTTTGGTTGTTTGAGATCCGCACAGTTGACGTCACAAGGAGACGAGTGCCGAAGGGGACGGGGCAAAAACGAAGAAGTAGGAGAGAAGGCTAAACACTTAACGCTAGAATTATAAAAAGTGTCGCTTACACGCGAGAAAGATAGGGTCTACCTATTGCTATATCAAAAAACATACTTTAAGGTCAAGGTCAATCATTTGAATAAAATTGAAAGTCCTTCATCCAATTTTGTTAAAGAATTTATATCAACAGCTTCGACCTTTTGGTTATTAAGAAAATTTTGTTTTAGATTTTAACACTTTGACCACTGAAACATTGAAAGTGGGTCAAGGAAGTTCATTTTAACAAACCTGGTAGCCCTTCATTACAGCATACTATGATACAATTATTATTATTATTATTACATTCTTAACGGTCTGTCAATACATAAAAAATCATTAAAGTTATAAAACGGTAAAACATACAGCGATCCAAAAAGGAAATAACATCAAACAAACTAAAACTTTTAAATGGTTATCACAAAAGATTAAAATTGTAAGTCATAGTCTATAGTACAGACCAACATCTTTCAGATAACCTAGAATTTTATTAATCTCAACAGTTTCAAAAAGGGTCTTTAAACTTGTAACGATAAAAAAATATCTCGAGTAGACAGAAGGTCAATGTAGTCCAATAAAAATGCTTAACGATGAATGGATCATCACACCTATGCACCGAGGGTTATCTTCGCCTTTCAACATATATGAATGCGTAAGGTATGTATGGCCCATTCGAAGACGGGCAAGGACAACTTCGTCTCTGGGTGGTTGTCTCTATAGCATGGAGACCATTCACCAGCGATAGGTTTTACGGAGTGCAATTGATAGTTATTATATTGATTCCATTCCTTGTGCCACTGCGTTTTTAAATTTTGTTTGATAAATGGTTGAAAATCAGTAAAATGAATTCTAAAAACACCAAGTGGTAGTGATAAAGCTTCCTTTGCGGCACGATCTGCTTTTTTATTGCCTGGTATTCCCATGTGCCCAGGAATCCAGCAAAAAGCAATACAAAAGTTAAAGGCAAGTTCATGATATAGTATTAATGTATTACGAATGAAAATGTTTTCAATATTTCTATTGCTAACACTTTGTATAACAGAAATAGAGTCTGAATGGATAACAGCTCTCATTACTTTGTTTAAATATATTCAAGGGCGAGGTAGATAGCTCGCGTATCTGCCGAGATTATTGAGGCGTTGTTTGGTAGCCGGCATCCATAGGTTTCATCTTGTGTAACCATGGCCGCAGCAACCTTATCATTATCTTTTGAACTATCAGTATATAAATGTAGAAATATATTTAACTGCAATTTCGAAAATGATGAAAGAAATGTGCAACTGTCAGTGTCTGATTTAACCATTCCATGAAGTGAAAAGTCAACTTCAGATGAATGCAAGAGCCAGGGTGAAATATCTATTGTTCCAAATAACTGAATTTGGTCAATATTAATATTTGTGTTTGGTAAAAGAGCGGAAAAATCCGAATACCGAATGGTGGAATGGTATTTGGTTTGTTTTCAAACAAGGTTTTTATATTTTCGATCAAATATAACTGAAAAAGCAGGATTTGAAGGATTTTACTTTAGCTGAATTGTGTATTGCATAGTCAATTTATTTCGACGGCTATATAGTGGTGGTTCGTTAGCCTCTACATAGAGGCTTGCTGTAGGTGTGATCTTAAAAGCTCCGAGAGCGAGCCTCAGACCCTGGTGGTGAACAGCGTCTAATAATTTGAGATATGAAGGTCTAGCAGATCCATACACAATGGAACCATAGTCTAAATTTCATCTAATAAAAGCTCTATAAAGTCTCAGCAAAACTTTTCTATCAGCTCCCCAACCAGTGTGGGACACAACCTTTAGAATATTCAGTGCCTGAAGTCATTTGGCTTTAAGGTATTTTATAAGTAGAAGGAACAATTTCCTGTCAAATACTACACCTAAGAATTTGGTTTGCTCATTAACCGGAATGGTGCGTACAACCTGTTTTGGATTATGAAAATTTAAATCCATTTTCATCTGCCCAAATTTGTAGTCGATTCAAACATTGTTGTAGTTGTCTTTCGATGGTATTCATATGTTTAGATCGTTCGCATATAATGAAGTCATCGACATAAAGAGCGCACTTCATTGAAGGGAAAATTGTTTTGACAATACTGTTAATTTTATGTCCAAAAGGTGTAACGAAAGAATGCTGCCTTGTGGTACAGGCATTTCCTGCTGATGAACATCGGAAAGAGTCGTTCCATTCCGGACTTGAAATACTCTATCTGATAGAAAATTTGAAATAAGAATTGGTAGATTACCTTTGATACCTATATAGTGCAGATTTTTTTATTATGCCGTATTTCCATGTTGTGTCGTAAGCCTTTTCCAAATCGAAGAAAACAGCAACCATGTGCTCCTTCTTTAGAAAAGCCTCACGCACAAAGATTTCAAGTCTTACCAAATGATCGTTGGTACCTCGCTTAGATCTAAAGCCGCTTTGTAGGGGTGATATTATGTGATCGGATACGAAATTAATCTTGAATTTATCATCCGCTCTAGAGTTTTACAAACACAACTTGTGAGTGATATTGGGCGGTAACTGAAGGGATCTGTTGTATCTTTACTCTGTTTGGAATTAGGAATCACGACTGCCATTTTCCATGACTTTGGGACATTATCCGATCTAAAAATATAATCAAAACTATCAAGAAGTTTTTCTAATGATGACGACTCTCGCAGATGTTTTAGGAAGTGATAGTATCATCAGGTCCTGTTGCAGAGTCATGCGATTTTTCCATCGATTCTCGAAGTTCTAACATTGAGAAAGCTTAAT